AAATTGAGGAAAAGATTATATAAAAAATTCTTTTTATATCTTTTTAAGAGTTAAGAATGTTAAAGTCATTAAATTAATGTTTATTTTATATCATTTGATGATTATGCTAAACATCACATAGCATCCATCTATAAACTTTAGATAATAGACATAAAACTGACAATAGTGGTCCATGATCCTTTTTTGACCTAAAAACTACTGTCAAAACAATCAGATTATATTTTGATAAAATTTTCTTAGAAAATTCTTCTTAAACAGTAAAATTATCTGTCTCAAATGAGTATCATGCTCTAGTCATGGATTTTTTAATAAGGAGTCAGACAGTGGACTATTTGCTATACCATCCATGGCTTAAAATCTTTTGATATAAGAAGTTTATAATTTCTATATTATTAAAGCATGTTGTATTTACCTTTTAATCTACACTAAGAAAAATATGGAAAGTTCTTTTAGTATCATAAAATAATAAACAGGTTACAATAAGATCTTTGAATACTATAAAATAAATAGACTTATAATCAACAAATCATTATTTCCCAGCCTAACACTTTTTTGGTTCTAGATAGATCTAAGTTTACTACCGCCTTTACAAAAATTTATTTTAACATTTCTGGTAATAACTATTGATTAGACTTATGAAACTCCTGTGTAAGGAAGTGGCGCTTCATGATGCACTGTTTAAACCTAAAATAAAGTGCTTAAGAATTGTTGTCTAGTTTATCTCAAAATTTTGAACTTTTATTGTCCTCTTGAAACCTTGACTGTCACAAGTTACTAACCCAATCATCCCTCCTATAACACAATTTCTCTCCCCATAGCAACATTTTATACTAATGAGATAAAACAGGACCACTTAATTATGTGAACACGTCAATACTAGTTTTCTCAGGCAGCTATGTAACCTGACATTACATAACCTTTTTCCCTTATGGGGTCTATTTTTACCTTGGTTTCACCCAAAAAAATCAACGATTTTGCTGCAGTTGAAGTTTCTCTATTCTATCAAAATATTTACAATTTAAATACTATCACACTTCATAAAGCCAACGGTATGCTAATATTCACTTTTATAGCATTTCTACCCACTTCCCTCATAGTGCTATACCAGGAGCTAATACATTGACTTTTTATATATGACTATGAGCTAGTGTAAGGTCCATGGCTCCTGCTATTAAGTTGTTACAGGCCTTGCACCCTTTTCAAAACTAAAAAGGAGTCAAGCCCTAGAACCCTGCCCTTAATCTAGATTGCTGACCAGAGCCATACTCTAGATGAAAGATGGGTATATGCTGCTTCTCCCTGATTCCCATGTTCCTCCCCCACCTATTTCAAAGTTCAAACCCACTGTAGTTTATAATCTGCATAGTATATATAAGGTTAACAAATAACTTTGTGCAAACCTAAAAAATCAGGAAGCTCAACGCAACTGCTGATATATATTATCCTCAACATGTGGCTGTAACATACCAGAAAACCCCAGTTCTGACAACCTAAAATAAAAGTTTCTTTGGTGCACCAACAAGCAACTAAAGTGGCCTAACTGAGTAGGGAGAGGTTTAGGCATTGACAGCGCCTAACCTTGCCTTCTACTAATTGGTTACAAACATCCTCTGGGTTGGTCTGACCCAACCATATAAAAGCTCCCCAAAACTGAACCCCAAAAAAAGACCACAGGTATGTGAGGTATGCAAACCCCAAAACAACCTATATTTTTATTTTAGACATAAAAAGGGGCCCGCTGACCAGAGCTCATCTGAGGAGCAACCAAAAATGCTCCCCAGGAAGGGAATGTTAGAGTGATTATTCTGAAGTGAACTTTAAAATGGGCAGGTGCGCCTTATAAAGGCTGCCCCTAAGGGGCCTCACCTGAGTCATTGATTGGGCTTTCACAAGCCTAATCTACAACTTGGGTGAGGAACAACACAGCATCCAAAATGATTAAGCCAAAAACATTTTTTAAAATAATTTGACTCAGATTTGGAAAATCTGAATCTGAGTCAGAATGTAACATTTGAGACAAACTCAATCATTACATAGCTCAATAGAGGGCTACTGTGAAGGAAAAGGTTAACATCTGGAAACATCCTGTGGAGAAGTAATTTGTCTAATAGGTCAAATTTAGTCATAAAGTCAAAGAATATGAATTTATAAATGGGAATTTAACCTGTCACCATATTATTCTTAAATTTTCAAAACTAAGTAAGATATTGGCACTTGTTGAAGTTTTGGCCTAATTCAAATGGGCTGGTTCTTCTTCTCTGGTTTTTAGAGTTTTGAGTGTATATTGTTTGAAGAAATAGACCAGATGGTTTTAGTCAAGATACTAACTTCTTGGAAATGACACTTTAAGGCTGTTTTATTCTTTTGTTACTTTACCAATGTCTCACTACCCTGATCCTTCTGATCCCAAGTAAATTCTTGACTTAATATAATGTAAAAGTATTAAATACAAAAAACTTGAAATTAAACTATGAACTTGTGGTAATATCCAATTGTACGTTATTAGTGTCAACTTGGAGATAATATATAAGGTTTGATGTTAACCACATCTTACACATGATGCCTCTTTTTTAATGGCACTTAGCCAGAGAAAAATGTAATAAGTTTGTCTGAGGGTCTAAAATCCTTTCAACTCATGGGCATCTCACATGGCCTCAAGGTCAGTGTCAAATTCATAATATCTCAAGACAGAATTTCTTATGTGACTATAAATAGCTGAACCAATGCTTCACTAAAGCAATTGGCAGCATATACCAAGGTGATTCATACCACTAATTAGTAATTAATTTATCAAAAACTTAATAAACATAAAAGCCAATTTTGAAATAGACCAACAATGCCTTTGGACCCATGTCATTATAGTCAAATATTATAAAGTGGAATCACTAGGCTACAAATCCCAAGTTTGGATATACTTAGGATATTTTTGGTCCATAATCATTGATAATTTCAATATGATACATAATAAGTTAGCATCAGCTAATATTATTATTTCCCCTATCAAATTACCTGACAATTTAGGTCCAGCCAACTATCAAACAGTACTTTTAAAACAGTTATATAATAGCATGTGGATCTCAGCCAATATTGTTACTATGGAAAATTTCTTAAAGCAACAGTTCCTGATACTATCATATTGTAAATTAGCATTCAGAACCAAAACTTATAGCTAGATAATCTTCCATTAATAACAACGTAGAACCCAAAACCCTTCTAATGATATATGTTGATTTATTTTATTGTCTAATTTATCATTGAACTTTTTTTACAAAAATAACTAGCTAATTTTTAAAAAGAAAATAAAATAAAAATTAATAGTAGTTCTAAACTTATAGCTTTGGAAAAGAGCCACAAAGTAGTTCTACTTATAGAGAGGATTATGCTGAAAACTTATGTCCATCTTGGCAACTATAGTAGCTTAAACAATACTAGAAAAGCCCCATCCTCACTCTCGCCTCTGCAAAAAACTCAAACCTCTCTCCCACCTCCCATGAGGTAACCTTTAAGGTAGAGTGCTGTCTTTCAGTCTGCAACTGCTGGTATGAATGCTTGAATATCCATGCATACTACCCAGTTTTCTTCTGGCTTGTTTAAGTCCTAATAACTGATACTTCATTTGTGGTCCCAAAATGAGTGTCTATACTGACTGGACCATATGCTTATGTAACAGTTTTCAAGGTGATATAACACATACCTTTCCATTCCTCTTACACTGCCATGGCTCTTCCTTAGACACTCATATGGGCCCAAGGAAAAAAGCTACACCATTTGTTAAATTGTTTCAAACTGGTTCACTTAAAAAAGTTCATCTTGCTACTTTCAAAAAAGCTCCCAGACTTCTGGCATTAACCATACCACCAGCCCAGAATTTAAACCTTTTAGTTGAAGTGAGTTTAGCCTTCCTCCAAACTAATCTTTCTAACTAGATTGGGTCCAGAGAATATGATAAAAAATAAGAGCAAAAAATGTGAATTTTCTACCATCATGACTAAAAATCTCTATCCTAAACCTATACTAAAATTAAAGGATTGTTTTCATAAATTTCACAATCACCAATTTCATTAGGCCATGTATTATGGGATTAAATGTTGGTTATTTCTGAGTTGTTCAATGCTAATGAGAACTCTTCTTTGGAAGACCCTAAGGTTATTGGACCTAAGTCTTTGTAAAAAATATATACTTCCCATCCCAAACCTGATTTCCTCAAAGTTGAGATCATTAATTCTTAATACCTTTAACAGCACATAAAGTATACATGTGATGCCCTTATCAATGCATAATATGCTGCACTTAGATGTGATTTTTTAATAAAGAGCATTTCTATATCTATATTTCTTTAAGAATTCTTTATATTAACAAAAGTTAAAATTATTGGTGTGGCCTTCCTTGTGAACTGCAAAAAAATGAAGTTGATATATCGCTACTTGACTTCAAATATAAAGTTATCTGCTATACCAATATTTTTGGTAAGGGATTATATTTTACCTTTGTATGAAAGAAAAGCTTGCAGCTACATTAAGCATCATGCACAGCATACTTCCTTTACCAGTTCAACCTTGTTGTTTTTACCTTATGCCTTACTAGACTAACAATCATAACTAATATTGTTTATCCTTGCAAGATACATGAAGCACCATAACCTAATTCTTGAAGTGACACTCCTAACCTTGTTTTACCCACCATCATGTCTGCTTGGGGCTGCAATAAGAAATATACAATAAAATTTATATCAATGGTTATGTATCTTCAACTATATATAAAAATTAAACATATATAATCCATTTTGATATAATATACTAGGAATATATAGGGATGCTATTTGGACAAAAAGATGAGTTGATAGTCAAGAAACCTAAAAATTAACTTGAGGTCTATATGAAAGTGAGATTAAATGAGTTATTCTAAAATATATAGTCAATTAAAACGATTTTACTTTTTCATTATGAATGGATGACTTAAGATAAAGCACTTAAGGAAAATATTTCATTTAAATGAAAAAATGTTTTCGTTCGGAATCGAACCGAAGGCCTTCTGCTTTTAAGGCAGATGCAATAAACTAGACCACGAAAGCTCGCTCATGGCTGGGATCGAACCAGCAGCCTCAAGATTAACAGTCTTACGCGCTAACCAATTGCGCCACACGAGCTTGTTTATAAAAAATAAAATTACTACTACTCTGCTTTACTTCAAACAGAGCTATATTAGAGCAACAAAAGACAAAAAGTATCTTTCATTGATTTTTATTATACAGACAAGACTAAAGTCTTGTATGTTATTCTAATATATATTTTTATAGCCCCTAAGAATTTTACTTCCTTTTCATATTGTATCATCTAACTTATCTGCATTTTAGACACTTAAATTTAAAATAAATTACACAATGTATAACAAGCATTTCTTAGACATGTAAAACTGTATGCATTATTAACTATAATATTAAAAAAGTATGGGAGTGAAAAGAGACATTGAAAATTAATCAGCACAAAGATGTGCAATTTTTAGTGAAGCTAAAAAATACTTGTGGTATCTGAAGATTATAAAGCTAAGTCAACATTTTATTGATAAAGGTAAAGTTATGATATCTTATAAGATTAATTTTGACAATATTATGTAAGAGACATATAAAATAGATGACGTATTAGGTGAAACATACATTTTATTGATACATATTTTAACAATAGAGTTATAATAAAAGGTGTACATTTATTAAGGTAATAAAATATAGAAATATAAACAACAAATAGGATATAAGAACAAACATATAAGAAAATTTTATTTTTTTATATTCACTTTTAGATATCTAAGAATCATTAGAATTAAAGTTTTTAGAAATTTATAATTCATTATGATAAGAAAATAGTGAACATTGATTCACTGATTCTAATTTTTCAGTTTGCTTTCTTTGACGTTTGCTGTAACTCTAATATGAGGGGTGTGTCACCACCAACTAGCTAATTTTGATCTTTGAAAGAAGTGCTCACGTTTTTGCTGTCATCCCACTTAGTACTATAAAGAGATCTATTGATAAAAGGACATTATATAACCATTCGCTTGTACTTAATTTTTTGAGATGAGCTAATATATGTCTTGTTTTTATATTCTGTTTGTACTCCAAATAATGTATGGATATTTATTTTAATACAAAATAGAAAATTTGTCAGTTAATGTAAACATTTAGTAAATGACTTTCTATATAAATTTTCATTTAAAGATTAAACAATATTAAGTTAGGGATCATGTTGCTGTTGTAAAGGCAGCAGTAATAGTCTATTTTATAAGTAAAATATTGCTAATCAGTTAAACTTACTTTTCTTTGATAGTATAATATTATTTTTAGTTTATAAATCTACCAACTTGTAATGGATAGTATTCTTCAATAAGTCATGACGTTTTTGGAAGAATTGACCATATTATGGTCCATAACAGGGAGGTAGCTTCTGTGAGAAGGTGATCCATATGCATACCACCACATTAAGGATAAAACAAACCCTGATCAAATTTTATTATAATACTGAAATACAGAAAAGCTTCTTGTTCCCAGGACAGTATAAACAATGATGCAGTTCTGTAAGGTAATTGTGAGTTATTATTTTAGTAGAAATAGCTATTGTATAGTGTTATCTTTTTAAAATCCACTTAAGTATCAAATGGAATTTAAATTTTTTTATAAATGTATTTAGCTGGATCTGCATAAGAAGATGGTTGTGGGGAAGATTTTAGCCCCCTGATTCTTGTATAATTTAAGAGAGAAATGAAGTAAGTAGTATAATTAAATTATTAAATTAAAGTTTATAAATTTTAGAATTATATACTAAACATAAGATATAAATAAGCAAGTCTAAGTTAACTTCAGATTTGATGCATTTTTGGAAGGTCCTTCTATATACAGGCCCTTCTATAGGTTTAATTATACATTCTTTAATGAACATAAAATTGTTGCTTTTTGAAGCCTTTTATAGACTGAAATTCCTTCATATAAACTTGCTTTATTCACTCCAATCTGATAAATCTTTAAAAGGGTAGTTTTTTTTGAATGGGAGGACATTAATTTTAACCAATGTCATTAGTAAAAGATTTTAAATGATAAATATGATAACCATGTATAATTTGTACCACTACACAAATTATGTTTACTTAACACAATAATGATAGTATTATGTTTATCTAAGGAATAAAGATCAGTTAAAACAGATTTAGTCCCAAAAGGATCATGATAGAGGTACATAATTGTTAGAAATGCGTATCCCTTATTTTTAAAAAGTACTATTAGTAAACTTTTTGTAAGTATTTTATGAAACTTCATTTATAAGTTATATATAATCTAAATACTAATGTTTACCCATTTCTGTAAACAAATATAAGAATTAAATTTTTTTATAGAAAAAGGTCTATATGCATGTAACCTTATTGACTTAAGCATGTGCACTCATTAAGCCTGTCATTGAACCCCAAAACAGAAAGCAGTATCTTATAACAAAAAGCCATTACAAATCAAATTTTGATGTCATATACTAAAATTATCAATTACTTATATAAAAATTAAATCTTTTGATAATATCAATTTGTGTGCTTTTAAACCAGGGCTGAATACTTGATTGTACTGAGCCTATAGATATGGTTTAATTCTCACAAAACTTTATATATAAATTATCTCTCTATGGTAAATTTTAAGTGGTTACAAGAATAAAGTACTGAGATACTTTAAAATACCAGAGAAATGCGCATATCTCTTAAAATATTATCGTTGTTTCATAATTAAAAAAATGTCTTTTTCTATATGGTGACATTGTAGCTGTATCGTTATTGGTATATAAGTGTGATCTTAGATGAGAAAACCAAGTTTCAATAAGTGGAAAGGGTATCTACAGGAGCAATATAGTGTCATGGTTGCTTTATATGGTGCTCATTACAGTGAGTGATACGCAAAGTTTAGAATAAACTTTTCATCCAAATAAAAACATTACAGAAATGAAAATAATTGACAAGTACAAGTGCACCAGTTCACACCTGGTAAAATGGAGTTGACATAACAAGCTACAATGAACTTCAACTATTATTAAAACCTAATTTTTACTTTCTTATATAAATGGGATAGCTTCCAGCTTAGATAGCCTAAAATGCGATTTTCATTAAAGAAAGGAGTTTATGTACTGGATAACTTGAAAACTTAATTTAACTAAAGACAAGTGTTTGATGTCACATTTGATATAATAAAATGGAATATGCAGCCTCAAATGAAATTATCAAATGTCATGGTGCATTTTTCTAAGGTTCTAGAAGAAATAAAGTTACATCATCCTGATTTAACTGTGAGTTGGATGTAACTTATTTATTAGAGCTTAAAAATAGTAAATTAAATAACTTAACATGCTACAATTTTTATTAGATACAATCCTTTAATATACACCAAACTTTTATCACATTTATTAATAAATGAGAACTACCTTTGGAATACCAAAAACCAAACCATTTTTTAAGTCACTCATGATGTGGTGCAATAGTTAAAAAATGCCCTTTTTGAAAGCCTAGGTCTTTTAAAACCATTAAATACCAGACAGAATGATAGAAAAGGAAAGTAGATCATCTTACAAACCTATATGTGATGGTCAAGGCGCTGCCTGACCGCCACATAGCCCCAGCCCCCCTATGGTGGGGATTGGGGCTCTTAGTAACGTAGATAATAATAATAAAAAGTGTAGGGTTTTAGGGCAACAACCCTCTAAATGGCATTCTGACGAATAAGATGCTGACAAATTAACTAAACCTCAGTGCAGAGGTGGCAAAGGCCAATGTAAATAGTGACCAGGCAATTAAAGGCTGCCAACCTGAATTATGCCAAAAGTGGAAGCATTGAGAACCATGGCATTGGGCAGCTCAGAGAATCAGGAGCTGCCAGGCCAAATTATAGAAAAAATGGAAATGTCAAGAACCATGGCATCAGGCAGCTCAGCAAATCAGGAGCTGTCAAGCCAAATCTGCCACCAGATGAGAATATCAAGAGCCATGGCGAAGGGCAGCCCAGCAAATCAGGGGCTGCCAGGCCAAATTATCCCAAAAATAGAAATTTTTGCAATAAGGTTGACATGAGAATGCTGAGCTCTAATTTGTTCCCAATGAATGAAATTATATGCAGAAAAGTTTCTGTAATGCCTAGGGGTACCCAACAAATGGTCTAGAATGGGCCTAAATGGAAATATTGGAGGCTGAGATTCTCAAAATAGGCAACAGATAGCCCGCCACCTGAAGACTCCATAGGAAAAAATTCACCATATCCCCCACTTCCTAGTATAAGTACAACCAGGATAAGGTGTTTAGAACAACTTTGTCTTCTCATATATACACTAAAACCCCAAAAGACAGAAATAAAGTTTTAAATTTTAAAATCATTTATTCAGATTTTGGAGGAAAACCCTGGATTTTGAGTGAAAAATGGACTATTCCTCAGATTTTGACAGAGCTGTCGCCTCTCTGTATGCTCTCTCTGGTAGACAGACTGTCCTCCTCAGTGTGAGTATTGTCCTCACCATATTCCAAGGATACCTCAATCGCTCATCAAGCCAATGAATGAAGGACCTAATCACAGTAGCACTCTCATGTTTGTGGGCCCTCACCTGGGCCCTCTTGCCCAACTGTTTTGTGGCAATGTGGAAGGACCCCATTCGTCATATTAGATGAAGTTCTTTTAATCTCATCTACTTTTTATGGGATGGGATGGGGAAACCATATGAGAGAGCCCTACCCGCTTGGTATGAGCACACAACCACTCTCCTGATGGTTATATTTTCCATCCTGTTCTTGCTGAGGGAAGCTGCTTGCCTCCTCCCATCCCAAGGAAATTCCATTGCTTATGTCCAACATGTTGATGCCATGTCCAAGTTTAGATAAGCACTGACCCCAGAGGAGTTGATTGTAATGCACAGAACTTTCTCTCACATTAGATTGCAGGCCTGCCTCACAGCGGCCACTGGGGGTACAACAGCCGCATCCCTCCAGATTGACTAGGTGATAGCAGACTTGCTGAAGAACCTGCCCATCTGGCTCACTGACCTCTTGGAAATGAACCTGGCCCTT